CAATTTATTTTGTGAATATGTTGTCATTAACAGCGTGTTTACATTTGGAGAAGCTGTAGGAATAAGGAAACAATGATAGCAAAACCTTTTTATAGATTTCCATTATATAAAATAAGTGAAGGTATGTCAGCTGAAAGCCTTCGGTTCAGATGATTCCCTCCAGATTTTTAGAATATCTGAAAAGATTTTTTGGATGCACACAATCTTGAAAGCTGATCTTCAGTAGAGCTGTTGACACATGACATGGCCTCGTAGGACACCGTATATTAAATTACCCAACTGTCTCGCTCAGGTCAGACTCTGAAAAATGGCAGCGAAATTTTCATTTGGTTTTCTGGAGGTTTTTACATCACAGTGTTTGAGACACGGAGAAATAGGATAGTGGGAATTAAAAAGAAGCATAGAAGAGTAATTGAAAGACAACAGAAGACAGCGTAAGACTGGAAAAGTTACAGAGGATAGGAGGGGATGCTTTGATCGAAAGTGTTGTGAGAAACAAATGGTGACAGTGAGAGAAATGACAAAGCTGAAGTAAGGTGCGTGGTGCAGGACTTGCTGTATAATACAAACGTATGGAAAGGTTTATTTCACAGCACCTGTTAAGAAAACCTTTCTCAGACTGTTACTTCCTTTCCATAGAAGTACTGGATGATTTCTTTTCCAAGTCATGGTAAAGCCTCCCAGCATGTCTGAAACATCGTTTAGTTGTCTCTGATAGGAAAACAGTCACATTGTCCATGATTCTGACAAGAGTAGTGATCGTTTTGTGAGGGTACTGAATTTTTTTGTTCAGGTTATCATATTAATACGGAGAAGAGTCAGTAGCGGACGATAATATAAGAGGTGGAGCGTTGTCTGGGCAGCCTGAACCCCTTTGGGGTTTGCCAGGTACGGATTAGGATTCGCGGAGCAAGCTGAGGAGTCTGTAAGGCATGGACGGACTTTCTGCAGACCTGCTGTAGACAGGAGTCACAGAACACCTGGTTCAGACATGGGCGGATGCAGGGGGTGCACGCTGTTATCCTTATGACATTCTGTGGTTGTATCATGTGCATTCCTTTGGGCCAGAAAAGGCTTTGGTGTTTCTAATGAGCACCTGGAAGTATTCAGGGATTTCACCAAGACTTTTGGATATGCGAGAAATGTAGCTCGAAGGAACCAAACAGCTCACAAATTAGGAGGAGAAATGGTAGTAGAGCTAGGAGAAAGCACTGGTATTCCCACAGAAGTATTTAATATTGCAATTTAAAATACCTTAAAGGTTCCCAAGTTAAACAAAATCTCAGGTCTGTAATTCCCTTTACTGGCCCAAACAGAAGAGGATAGGTAAAATTTTGAAATACAGACACGAGTATTAAATCTGACGTTGACCTTGAACTATGGAATAAACTTTGCATCGTGAGAGATCTAGTGTACTTTGTAGTTTATTAACATATATCTGTAAACACTATGGGGTCTTGATTGATCTTTGGTATCTAAACATTACATCATAATTAAACAACAAATCCAGAAATATATTATAAATATGTGAAATAATAGTACATTAACCTAAAGGACAGCAATAAATTGCAACGCTTAGCATAAACTTGAAAACCACTAATGGGCCACTGTGCAGTTTGTTTATACTATAAGCAGTCAAGAACTCTGTGTAATGTACAGTAACAGCGTGGTGGAGAACAGCAGGTCTGATGTGATAATTTATATATTTTTTTCATGGACACGCACAGCTGAATTTTTGAAGTAATTTTTGAGACTCCCGTGATGAGCATTCTCCTTCCAGCCTGGTTTCCTCCGAGTCTGCTAGAGAGTTACAGACTCCTTTGCGTTGCACAGATGGGTTTGTGCTCTGTAGATATGAAGGTATTTAATTCATGCCCTCATGTGAAATTGAAATTATTCTCTGAGTTACCTCCTTGAGCAGTCTGTAGTACCGTTACCGATCATTTGTCTCTGAAAGACCAACGAGGCCATTTTTGAGGCTGGTAGGAGATAGGCAGAATTACTGCATGAATAACAGTAGCTTCCCAAACGCTTTTTGTCGCTGCCGAGGAAGGTTTCATAGTTTTATTCCTATAAATCTTACTTCATTTCACACTCATCTGTCAACACTTTTGTTATTACTGAGTCTTAAAAACCTGTTTGTTCTCTGCCTCTGTGGTTTCAGCCGTATTTTAAGTAGTGATGACCGTGATACCCACTCTCCGACTGCAGCGAGTGGTTGGGATCTTTTACTTTAAAGAGAGTGTTTTGGATTACGTTGTTCCAAACTTTCTTCCTGAAGATCAGGAATACTTTTTTTTCTGTGTAATGTTTACGCTGAGAGAAAACATCCTGTAATGATTGCTTCCCAGTTTCTTGGCTTGCGTTGTCATATGCCAGGGCTGTTGTATGTGTTTTTAAAGCAACGTAATCCTAAGGATGCGTACTGAAGACTAAATATTAATATAGAAGTATACACATTTCTGCTATGCAGTACAATGAAATAATTTTTTTTTTTTTTCTCAATCATCTCCCAGAAATGTCCTCTAAAAAGGCTCAACCAAATAAGAGAGGGTATGTGGTAGATGTGAGTGAAACTAGTGATTTAAAGTTTGGCTGCAAAATCAGTTGTGCAGGAGGGAAGAGACTGAAGAGGCGCAGGCAGCCTGACTCCGTCCTGTAAATACAGCTCCAAGGTGTCAGGTCGCAGGGAGATCTGTCAGGTCCCTTCCAGCTAGCTGTAGTTTCAGGGGAGAACACCGCTGCAAGGAGCGTGGAACTACAGAGCAAGACAGAAAAAACTTGTGTTGGAGGTAGAGAATGAGTGAACATCAAAGAGGAAGGAAGAGAAAAGCTGATTTTTTGAGACTGGGACAGATAGATGGTTTTATTGATCAGAAAGGGAATTTAAAGCTGGATCTAAACTGAATACCAAATATTTGGAAAAGAGTGATGTGTTCAGAGGGGTCACATCTAATGGCAAACGTGGGCATTCTTTGGGATATTAGGAATGAGAAAACATGGCCTTTGATAGGGTTGGAATGAGATTCCAACAGCCTTAATGATTTTATTATATTGGTGATCTTTCTGCTGTAACTGAGAATGGCAAGTTGTATGCGGTTCTTAGGTTTGATTTTGACCCGTAGAAATTGCCTCTTTAAACAGCAAGTATTTAAATACTCCTGGTGCCATCGTGTTTCTCTGACTCCACGGCTTTGGGGTTTCTTTTTTTGGCTCTTGTTAATCCCTGTGGGGTCTCTAATCCTTTTTTTTTGAGCAATCTATTAAGGTGAAACACTTTGTAGGCAAACTAGGAGCTCTAAGTCCTGGGACTTCATGTCAGTAATACCAGAATCACTGAAAGTGCTAAACCTGTCAGATTTTGGGGAGATTGTTTAGCTATATCATTAGCAGATCATTTGGGTATGTCACCATAATTGAAAAGAGCAGGTGTCTCGCGCTGTTTTTTAGTTTATCTATGTAACGTTGATGAAGCATTTTGTGTCCTGACAGTCTGTCAGCCAAATATCTTGTCACAAGTCACAAGACTTAAATCCTTTTTTTATCTCAGAGGCTTCAGGGCTCAGTTGGAAACTTGCACTTTGATGAATACTTGCTGCTTTTGTCTGGAGTAGCTGGAGTGCATTTCTGGAATATTTGTTAAGATTTTATCAGTGTTTACTCCAATTTGAGTACCTAGTGTATTGTAAAACTGGCTTCAGTGAAATCTTAAAGAATTTTATTTAGTTTATGCTGTTTAATAATATAATGAAAACTAATCCTTCGTCTGTGTATTTGTTTGCCATGTTAAATCCCACTTGCATACGTGGTTCTTTTTAGTCAGCTTTTACCTTTAAAAACATTTTTGGAAGAATTGTTTTAGGGTGGTTTTTTTTTTTTTTTTTCCTATGATAAATCATTTTAACCTAGACTACTTGTTTTCTTGAGTCGTCTGCCAGTATGGGGTTGGAAACAAACTTTAATCTCTCTTTTAAAGCATTCCTTCAGGAACAAGAATTTGCTTTCCATCAAAGCGTTGTGTAAAGCACACTTAAAAGAGAATTAAATCCTTCTGGACTTCGTATCTGAAATCTCTGCAAGGAGTAACCGTAGTAGAAAATATTTAACTGTATTTTTATATATGCTTCCAGACTGACCATTTTAAGCTAAAATAAGACTTGGGTTTCTCAAGTAGTGGATAAGTACTCATGTGCATAAGGAGAAATCTAACTGGGTTTTTTCCTAGGACTTTAATAGCTGATTAATAAAGATGTAAAAAAGGAGTGGGTTTACGTAGAGAAGTGGCCAAAGTTGTTCAGTTTCTTCTTGACAAGATTATAAATTAAAAAAAAAAAAAAAAAGCATAGGTCCAGGGCTACCTGGATGAATGGTGGTTCCTCTGAAGGATACGCTGATAGTAGCAGGATTAGAGACCATTATAAACAGCTTTGGAAAATATTGGCCGTTGATTTTTGGTTTGTTATGTAGGGCATGGTATTACTGTTGACTTAAAATACAGTTTTGAGTGCCAGTAATTGTCAAAATCAGGCCCAGTGGTGAGACCTCTCTTCTTCTCATCCCTCCCTTTTCCTCTTTTTGGGTAATCTCTCAAAATTAAAGTAAACAAGCAAATAACAAAACATGTAATTGAAATGATTTCCCAACTCTTTTTAGAATGAAATTCTATTTGAAAATTACACCGAGCTCTTGTGGCTTTCTGTAGTACTTTGCAGCATGGTTTGTTTTTATAAGTTTAGGCCTGTTTAACAGAAAAATCTCAGAATATTTTGAAAAGTACATGAAATTTGGAACTGGGTTTTATATACTTATATACTGATTATATACTGAATACTAATATCATTGATACATATGCAAAAATTCAAGTTATTGCCTAAATTTAAGGGTTTTTATTCCCATTTCCAGTTAAGATTTGTGTGTGTTTAAGCCATGATAGCCCATTTTCTTTGTTAGATGTCTGTACGTTGGTGACTACATTCCTGTTTCCCTCCTCTGCTTCCTAGGTACAGGATATCTCCTTCAGCCACGACTGTCGCTGGGTTGTGGTCAGCACGCTGCGTGGCACGTCCCACGTTTTTCCCATCAATCCTTACGGCGGGCAGCCCTGTGTCCGGACACACATGTCACCCCGCGTGGTGAATCGCATGAGCCGGTTCCAGAAGAGTGCAGGCTTGGAAGAGATCGAGCAAGAGCTCACATCTAAGCAAGGAGGACGCTGTAGCCCTGTTCCAGGCCTGTCGAGCAGCCCCTCCGGCTCACCGCTCCATGGTAAATCCCTTATTTTCTTTTTTCCCTCCCCCTTACATTATCAAAAAACCTTTCCCCATGTCCTTTAAGATGTTTCCGTACCTCCTGTGTAGCTTCCTGACTCAAAAAGATTTGGTTCCTAAAAACCTTTGGAGATGTCAGCCTAAAGATCTTCAGTCTTCCAGCTTCACCTTTCAGTAGTATTTGCTGACAGCCTGAACCATGAAAACATTGATTTTACTGGAGATTGCAGGAATTGATTTGGTTCCTCCTACTTGCCCCTGTAGCTCGTGCCACTAAAAAATGATTTTCATAAAATAAGGTGCTGCAGAGATTGTGCAAAAATATATAATGTATGCAGATATTACAGGAATGAGCCAAGGTGTATATACTTCCAAAAGATAGTTCTAGTTTTGCAGCTTGCTTAAGCAAACGGTGCTATCACAGATGTGTTAATAATTTCCACTCTAAACTGAAAGTTTTGAGGTCTTTAGGTTTCAAGTTTTGTTTCCATCTAGCACACATCTAGGTAAGTAATCTGGTCTCTATTCAGATACAGATACCTAAAATTTTCATTGCTTATTGGCTTGATGATCGTGAAGCATATCTGGATATCCATAATAAATATTGTTTGAGGAGAAATGTGGAAACCAGGCAGTGTGAAGTTGATGGCATAGATTTTTGCCCACTTTTGTTCGAGTGTGGGTGTGAGCAATGTGGCAACGTACAAAGGAAAAAAAACCAAACAAATCTGTAAGAATTGATCTGTACATCCTATGCCTTTGGAGAAACTAAAAGATCATGAAGGAGAGCCTTTAAAAAAAGGCACAAACATCATCATTTTCCCAGCGTCTTCAGTTTGGTCTCTGCCGTTCTTTTTGCCCTTCTCTTTCATGAGGTCTCAACTAGGAGCTGCTTTGTTTGGATTCAGGATTTGCTGCATCCTTACCCTTCCGTTCTATTAAGAGTAAGTCACAGCTTCCATTGAAGTGGAAGTTTAAATAGCCGTTTGGTACGGGCAGCCACCCTTTTCCAGTCTGAGAGTATTAAAAATGGCAAAGAACAGTCCCTCTTCCCTAATTGTGAGTAAGATTAGAAGTGCTTGTGAAAGCCCAACTCTGTGCTGTCATAGTCAACATCTCTGCTGCTATAGAGAGAACCTTTGTGGGATTTCTGAATCAAAGGAACATTTTAATGACTTGCTGATTATTTAAGGGAACCAGGCTTGTCTCAGAAGCCGCTGTATTTTCTCCTTTGGACTTTTCTAAACAAAGTTTTTTGCATAGCTCTTCTGGAGCCTTGCTCCTCTGCCTAGAGCCACTGGAAGGCACCCAAAACGTGATCTGTAGTTTCCTCCTCCTTGGAGACATTTGTGTATCTACCATTTTACTTTGTCTCTCCTCATTTTACAGCAGCTCAGCATTGAAACAGGCTGGGGAGGGCTGCAAAGGTTTATCACGGCCCATCCAGTCCCTTTTAACTGTTGACATCACGTAGAGGAGAGGAAGGGAACTATCAATTCATGTAGTAGCTTTCATCCAACCAATTCTGTTTTCTGTCAAGGAAACTGCAGTAAATTGTTGCCTTTACAGTACTCTAAGGTACATTTGAAGTTTTGAATAGATTTGACACTTTTTAAAGAAGAAACTGGTTTCATTTGCTTTAGGATCCTCAGTGGTGAACAGATTTTCTAGGTAGGAGGAAGACATGCATGGATGAGTTACAGAGAGAAAGGCAGCAGCATTTATGGCAGTGTCTCAGGAGTTTTAAGGCTTCAGTTTTCAAATGCCTGTCTTGAAATATAATTAATAAATGAGATTTTAATTTTTTTTTTCCAAGATCTCCATGCAGTCATTATTGTTTGGAAATCAGCTCTGTTCAAAGTTAGCTCCATTTGAAAGCTGCACATGGGCACTGAGAATTTAGGTGGGAAGGTAACGGATTTCTGGAGAACGTCACGCAGATTGTGCTCATCACTTTCTCACAGTGTAGAAGGGCTTGAAGCTGGACACGTGCTAAGACTGTTGGTACCTTGCAAACCTTCATATGAAAATTTTCCATGAGAAATGTGGGGATTGTATAGAGGAATTAGCAGAGTTGCCTTATAAGAATCTTAGAAAAAAAAGATAAAATAGTTTGGTTTTAAAGAATCCATTTGGTAAAATATTCTAGTGGTTTTAGTAATATTTTTGCTGCTTTTTCATTTTGGTCATCTTTCAGTTTACCTGGCTGAAGGCAGGCAAAATATTGAACCATGTTATCTGCCTTTTATAAAAAGCTATTTATCATCAAATTGGGGAAAAAAACCCCAACCCTGAAGTTCCCAGTGACTTTCAGTGGAGGTATTTGTGTGTGTGTGTGGCAGCTGGATTAGCCAGAGACCAGTGATTATTTTAATTTGTGAGCTAAGATGTGTTTACTCAGATTGTAACGGCTCCTTATCATATTATAATGTTAAATTATTGTTGTTTGCCAGAGTTAAGGCGGTCTGGTGACAGGAGTGTGGACTAGTACTCAGAACAGAAAAGAGCAGTTCAGGGTTTAATTCTTTGCTTTACTTTTAACTCGCTCTGTGACCCTTGGTAAATTTTATTCAGCTGATATTGTCTATCAGCTTTCTACTGTGTAACAAGAATAATAATCTCTGTGTTCCCCACGTGTGGAATCACTTGAATTTTAGAGTTTTCTATACTTATATAGAAATACTATATACTATATACTTATATTCTTACTTTCCTTAGCCATCCCTCTAAATGCAGCTGATTATAATGTAAATAAACCCAAAGACCGTGTCCTGGAGAGCACCATTACACTGGGACAAATTGTCGATTAAGTGGCAGATTCAGAGAAGTTTGTGATAAACTGGTTTTAACTCTGGAGGATTTTTTTTGTGTGTGTGTGTGCGAAGTCGTGTCATCATGATTTTCCTCTTACATCCTTCATAATCTAGAAAAGTTTCAATAAACCCTAAATTAGAAAAAATTCTGTTAATCCTTCTGCTAACACTTTTTTTTTTTTTTTTTGCATTACAGTAGCATTGCTACAACCTTAAGCCGAAAGATGGATTTCTGTGAGCAAAGTGTTGCTTGTTATCTTCTTTTTTTGATTAGCAATTGTAACCGATTCATGTTAGCTTGTGATTAGCTTTTGTTCTCGTAAATATTTTCAGAGTTCGGTCTTTGTGATATTTTTCCCACTTGTTTTTTAGCGCCTAGTTTCAAAAAGAAACTGCTGTGTATATAGTAGCGAGGCAATCTATTTACATTTTGTTCGGAGTACCCTAGGAACTGTTTACCCACTGGGGGTGGGGATGATTTCGTTTCCAAATGAATCATAGTTTGGCTTTGTTCACTTTAGCAGACTGAAGTAAACTGTTAAATAGAGGATGATAAAGAGATATTTCCTTTTGCACCTTTTAGAGCTAACACAGATTTTGTTTGGTGCTATTTTGTGGGTTAATCCAGCAAAATTATATTTTTGTCATTCCGTTGGATTGCCAGAGCATGTTGTCAGTAATATCAGCGTTGGGTTGGGATCCTTTTATGGGCTTTTAATGAGACTATTACGACATCAGTTGGTTGTGGGGCTGAACGTGAGGGTAGAATGTGGCCTTATGTGACCTTTTTACTTATATAAAATGGCGTTCATGGTACTTACCTGTCCCACAGGTACACTGTGTGGATTAATGGATGAATAGTTAAAACAGAACCACGTCCTTGATTACACAAACATATCCCCTGTTGTCTTCAGGACACCTCTATGTGAACACCAAGGAGCATTTAGCTGTAAAAACTTAATGCTTTATTTGGAAGATGGAGAGGTCTATACAACCCTCGCTGTTTTTATTCTGCAAATTAAAATTTACAGTGTGGTGTTATCATCCCTTTTTGCACCACAAGTAAGTTCAAATCTCCCTAGATCTACTTTGAGGGTTTTTTTTCTGTCGTCGTTTGCAGGAATTTCCATATCAGAACAAAAAAACCAATAATATAATAAGTGAAGCACACATTGGGCCTATAGCTACCGATCCACACCTACTAAAACCATATAATAATAATATGATACTTTCTGAATTTGTCTTGTCATTTTGTTTGGGGGTTGAAGTATTTCTTTGGATGGTGTAGTTTTGCCAGACCATTCATCATACGCAGTGGCTGTGTTTCAGATTTAATACCTATGCTGAAATGAAGATTTTAGAATTATGAAAAGGCATGTCATTCTGTATATATTGCATTCAGGCTTGTCTTCAGTTCTTTATAAATATTTTAGTATCGCACATTTTTCACAATAAAATCTTTTTTAATTTTAAAACTCAGAAGGGTTTTCTCCCACTTTTCCTTCATTTATAACAATATCAACGTGATTAAAATCCAAGCATAAAACCAGAAGTTTGATAAACATGCACTCTGAGATGCTTTAAATATTTTCATGTTACTTTTCACTATTTCCCAGAGTGAAACTCCTTTTACTAGAGGAATTCTTATGGGAAAGCAGAGTTGAAAGGACTGACATCATCAGCCCTTCCTGAAAAACAGATTGGTTTCCTTTAAGTAACACTCACTTAAGAAACCACCTATTTAGAGAGAAGCAGACAAAAATAGTTTCCAAGAAAATTAACTGTATAATAACTTAAAACACTGGAGGGCAGTTCCTTTCCAAAGTTTAACTCGAGAGCTGGCACTGTAAACACCAGTTGAAAACAGTTGTTTGAAAAGTCCTTATTAAGCTTTAATTTTTCTCTTTGTCAAGTGTAGCTTTTCTCGACAGAAAATAGTTTCTTTATGGATGTATAGAAACAATAAAAGAAGCTGCAGAATGGGCCTGATTTTTTTTTAATGCATTTTTTAATATTTCCATTTGTTTAATCATTTTTTCAACAGCATCGCACTTTGCTGTTTTTTAAATTTATTTATTTCAATGCACTTTCATGGAATTTCCTTTCCAGCCTCATCTCGAAATGGAAATTTGTCTCCAAATATATATTTTTTTTTAATTAAACTTGAGCCTGCAGGGGGCGCCCT